ATTATTCATTGCCAAACTAGGAACATCAGAATGGTTAGTCAGGACTCAGATGACTTCATGAAGACCATCCTAATTTTTGCTGAGTTGTATGAAGTCTGCCAGTGCTTTTAAGAACTTTGCCTGGTCTACAAAAATGTGGGACTTCAGAAAAGTCTCAAAAGATGTAACAGGTTTTTTTGTTTTGTTTTGTTTACATTACACAAAACAATGATATTGGGGAAAGATTCAGTACACACAATTCCTCTATCACACACAACTTTGCCCCAGAACCTGGGTTTAATGCACTCATCTCTCTAGCAGAACTCAAACTCCACAGGGACTCATACAGAGCTCATAAGTAAGGACTCGAAGTCCTTAGCAAGTTTGCTTGGGTTAAAGGATTTCATATCTATGGAAATAGACCACAGACCTTACTGAAGCACGGACTTCCAAAAAGGCCAAGGCCAAGCCAACTAGGCTGAAGGATTTTAAGGCTGCTTGCATTCCTCTGAAGAAATACTGATGCAGTTTGAGCAAGCGAAACACCAAGGCCATGTCTACACTACACACTTCTGCTGGCAGAGCTATACTGGTCAGGGATGTGAAGAGGTCTGATCCTTGACCTACACAGCTGTGCCAGCACAAGCCCCTGGTGTAAATGCAAAAAACTGTGCTTTTGCCAGTACAGCTTGTTTTGTTTGGGGGTAGAATAAGCCAATACTGGTAAAGCATAGCTTTGACAGTATTAGCTGCATCCACACTAGGAATGCTCTGCCAGTAAAGCATATTGGTATTCCTATACTAGTAAACCACTCCTAGTGTGGACATGGCCCAAACATAGCAGGACATAAGTTTGCATATTTGGTCAAGACTACGGTCAGGTCTACATTCAAGACTTAAGTCAACCCAGCTATGTCGCTCAGGGGCGTGAAAAATCCACACCCTTGAGCAATGTAGTTCAGACAACCTAACCCCTGGGGTATGTCGACAGCACTAGAATTCTTCTACTGACCCAGCTACAATTTCTTGAGGAGGTGGATTAACTATACCAATGAGAGAACCCCTCCCATTGCTGCAGTGAGTGTCTATACTTGAAAGACTACAGTGGCACACTTTCAGTTAGAATCCCAAGTAGTTCCATATGAAGAGGATACCAAAATTTTACCCTTGACTTTGTTTAAAAAAAACAAAAAAAACCCCACCCACACACTAAAACCCTAAAGAAATTCCTACACTCTTCCCACCCTATCCCCCCACCAAAAGAGAGAGACTGAAAGACTTTTAGGATTGAAAACATGTATCAATAAATTAAGAGGAAAACATTTAAAGAAAGATTTATAAAGGCAAGTATGAGAAACCCCGGAAGTTAGAGAGTAAGACTTTAGACAGGCAGCTTGAAAATGCCAATTTAATCTGATATAGGACTTATGTTTCTATGAATATGAATCCCATAACCAGTTGTTACTTTAAATTTTGTATATGGACTGATCCTAATCTGAATTGACCAGAACATACAGGGTTTAAAGGTGATTTATAAAGGGGGGGAAAAATGAAGTTTGTACACTTTGTTTCTTTATTATATATAAAGGTGATCTGGAAGAGGCTTTTTTTTTTTTTAAATTAATATAAAGCATTTTTTGCTTACTTTTTACATTAGGAATTCAAGTCCGACCTAGCCTAGAAGATTATGTTAACTGGTGAACAATTAAATTATGAGCTCACAAGAGCTGAGAGTGAAATGCTAGATGTACACTAGAAAAGATTTGCCACCATAGCCATACTGGCAAACGCCCAGTGGAGAGGCAGCTTACTTCAGCAAAAAAGATTGATTTTGAAAGGATAATTTAACTTGGAAATGGTATAAACTAAAACTAAACTTGCAAAAACACTTATGCTGGTTAACTGTGTCTATACTAGAGCTTTTGAAAACATAGAGGTGCCACAAAAAGCCCCACATCTAACTGATGTTGCTATCTGAGCAAATATATAGACCTGCCCTGGCCAAAGATGAGCAATTGAGAGAGAGGGAGTTTTTGTCAATTGTTTAAAAAAAACTTTAGTTTTTTGTTTGGTTTTGTTTACACTTGTTTAATGATTAACAAAGACCTCCTTTATACAAAATGTTAACGATTCAACTTCTCCACCCTTTCATTTAAGGTGTTAAGAGTTAACAATAATGCTGAGACCCAACCCCACCCCATAACACAAGTCCTCCAGCAAAATCTGGAAAACCCAAGCCTGACATTTCTAATAGTTCTAAGTTAAAAAACAAGCAGATTTTTTTGTTTGTTTGTTTTGATGGGGAGGTGGGGGCATACATAGGAGAAAGGGAGTGAGCATGACCCTTTACACACATAAAACAGCAAAAGAGCACTCAAGCTCAGTTTAAAATCTCTGGAGGCCACCTTTAAAATAACCATAGCCATCAGACGTAGTTGGCCAGGTATACATTGGACAACATAGTTATGTATCACCAAACCAACCACTGTACCACGGTTTCCAGGAAAAAGCAGATCTACCTATTGCAGGCAATGGGTGCAAGTGAACAGGCATGGAACACAGTTTAGTTACAAATATAGAAAAAAAAACAACAACTATGTTTATACAAGTTCCCATGCCCAAATTACCAACACCTGTTGTCAGCTATGGATAGTTTTTTCCTAGGGTAGACAAGGCCTAACTGAATGAACAACATTAAGTAGAAGCAGGATAGAGGTGAATGGAGTCAGAATTAAGGCTATCTAGGGGAGGTTAACACTACATTTCCATATTTTCCTGTGTGTTTTTTGATTAATTTAGATGTTTCTGGCTTTCAGTGTTCGTTTTCACACTATTTTAAGACGACATGCACCCCAGGTCACTATTTACAAAAATAAGATAGCTATTCATTTCTTTTTCTTTTTCTTAATTTTGTCCATTTAAGAGTACTATGCATATAGTCAGTTTTCTGGGATGTTTGTGTGGATCTTTCATGTCTTTCACACAGCAACTTGGGAGAGAACCACCTTTTTCAGAATAGGAAAGTGTGACTGTAAATCCCAGCCCCCAAAAAATTATTAGCATGGACCTTGGGGAGGTGTAGTACCTTCCTCCCCTCCCTAAAACTAATATCTGAAAAACTAATAATTAGAGAATTTAAGGGGAAAAGCCCCATTCAGGCATGACTATTCTCCCTCCCCCTGCCCCCCCAAACCAGTTTGGACACTTATTAACATCACCAAGGAGTGGCAGTTTCTTCCCAAGATCGAGCCAAAGGAGAGAGTCCTTCTCTCCTCTTTCACAAGAAAGGTCCTTGAACAGTAGGTTAGGTTCCAGGACAATGGATTAAGCTGGGGACACTGCATTATGCACATTTACTCTGAAAACACTAAGCTTTCTCTGCAATACAATCTTCCTCATCTGGTGGAGTTGGAATTATTCCATGATCAACTCCTTAGTCCACATCTCTATCACCACCAGCTGCAACCATCATTCCCCAACCATAACCCTTTCCCTATCCCATGCTGCCAAACCTGAAAATAAGAACAGGCTCTCTGATCCTCTCTAACCTTAACCACTTAATCACCCACCATCTCTTTCAAGTCCCAATTATCCCCCAGGAAAGGATAGGGGATGAATTCTATTTATACCTACATCCCCAACAACTTGACCCTTCCCACCTGCCCTCCTCATGTAATTTACCCTATCACGGTATGCTGACCCCTCAAGCAGCTTCTTCCTCCCTGATCAATGGGCACATTTTTACCCATAACATTATGAGGTACCCTCACCTCCAAGTCACCGATGGGTGGTGAATCAGGATAGAGGATGTTGTCTCCCAAGCTCCACCAGCAACCCCAGATATGGCATTCCCTCCACTTTTCTCCCAACAAGAAATCCTCCCTTTTAGCCTCCCACCTCCATACGTGGGGGTCTCCCCTGGATTTCCCGACTCCCTTGTTCCAGCCCCAGGCAACTCCCACCCCATACGCCTCCCCTGGGATTCAGCACCTGCTTCCCCCCTGCACAGTGCTAGGAGAGTGCATGCACCCACCCACCGCTCTGCATGGGCCCCCAGACTGGGCGCTTCCCTCCCCATCCCACAAGCCCTCTCCCCCACACCCCTGCCCCACAAGCCCTCCCCACACACACCACCCCCCCACACACCCCACCGCACAAGCCCCCCACGCCTCCCCTCCCACACACATACTCTCTCTACCCAGCCCCAAACTCTGAAACTTTCCCCGGGGCGGGCGGGCGGCTCAGCCCTGCCGGGACCCCCCCGGCCGCCGGCACCACGCGGACCCCGCTCCCGCACACACACAGCGCCACTTACCGAGCGGCGCCGGGCGGGAGGGGAGGGGAGGGGAGGGGGCGGTTCTCAGCTCCGGGCGGGAGGGGGCGGCGCAGCGTCTCCCCCCGGTGGCGGCGGATCCATTCCCCTCCCGCAAACACACACAGGATCCATTGTCCGCCAGCGCTCCCCCTCCGCACACATGGTACCGCCCGTCACTCCTCCCCCCCCCATTCCAGCTAGACGAATGGTACCACCCGTCGCCCCCTCTGCCCCGCCCCGGCAATGGTACTGTCCCCTACTTACTGAGGGGATGGTGCCGCCTCTCAACCCCGCCCTGGGAATGGTACTGTCCCAAAGGAGGAGACTGTAAATACCCTTCCCCCACACAATGGCATCAACCGGCTTCTTAAAGAGGCAGGCCTGAATCCATAAGCCCCTTCCGCGCCTGCACGAAGCACCGCCCTTACATTCCCCCATTCATCTTGGTACCGCCCCCTCAATTAACATAGCTCATCCCCCACCTCACTGTGGCACCACCCCACCTCTCCCCTTTAAAGAGACAGCCACCCAATTGTGCTTCTTAAAGGGACACTCCCCCAGTGCCTCCCTCTCTCGCTGCCCCTTCCCAGCGCCCAGTGGCGACGGGGCCGCCTCCTTCCCTCGCCCGCCTCCTTTCCTCGCCCGCCCACTCACTCCCCCCCCCGTCCCCCCCGAGCCAGGTGAAAGCCCGGCCCGGCCTCCCCCCAGGGGCTCCCCGCGCCGCCCCCTGCAAAGCCCCAGCAGGCCCCGGCCACGCTGCGCCCGGAGCTGCCCCAGCCCTGCCCAGAACGCGGCCGCCCCGGGAGCCGCCGGGCAGCGCCGAGGCGAGCGGGCGCCCGGCCCCAGGGAAGCGGGGCGCTCCCAGCCCGGCCCCACTGACCCCGGGCGGGGGCGGGGGGGGCACAACGCAGCACGGCGCCGCTCCCCCGCTCGGAGCGAGCCTGCCCCCCGCCGCTGTGGCAGGGAGGCGGCGCCCACCACCCTGGGGTGCGATCAATTGTCTCGGGCAGCAAATTGTCAACAGTCCCTCAGCCTCCCACCCCCAGCGCTGCCCCGGCGCCGGGGGCACAAGGGCAACGGGGGCCGAGATCCAGGAGACTGTGTCCGCGCTCACCTGAAACGGGGCCTTCCTTAGAAATACGAAGGTCCGCACAGAACCTGTTACAATGGATACTCCAGCCTGCCTGAACCTGGGGGCAGAGCCAGACCTGTCAGTCATGGGCAGCGGGAGCATGCCCTGCCTCCTGAAGTTTCCTCCGCTTGCAATAACTTCCACAGCCAGGATGATTCTCATCTGTTTTCCGAAATCACAGGTGGCGATAACTATTATTTGAAGGGGGAAAGTATAGTTTCATCTTCCCCTCGACGGGCTGTGCACACAGAGACGGGAAACTCTGCTCTGCCCAGGACAGAAGTTGATTTTCATTCTTGGGGTTGGGCTGATGTGTTCTTTCTAGTTTATTTATTAAAGCCCCGTTAGACATGCTGACTGTCAAGACCAGAATAGATCCGTTACACATGGAAGGAAGAGTGCTTCAAGAGCTCCATAAATCACTGTGTTCCAGCCAGCGGATGGATCTCTTTTTGGTACCTATTCCCCGCATTGAATCACGTCCTCAACGAGCCCTCTCCATGATCCCCTGCTAGCTTCTGACATATGAATCACGCTGCCTGGTTAACTAATGGATGGACCCCTTCAAAAAAGTCTGGTTCTCTGCATTTACCAGTTGAGGGAACGGACAACAGATAACAGGCACTGGACCTCGCAACAGATGTGCTAGGATGAGATCCAGAGGGGATAACAGGAATTAGGGGGTAGGACTCACATGAACTCTGGATCACTGACACACGTGTACATGAGATCAGCATTCTCAGTAGGTTGCCCTAAGAATTGGATTTTTGTTTCTGTGACACAGTGAGCAGGGGAGCCAAGCACTGAGGATTATGCACCATGCTGCATCCATAAAGGTGAGAATACAAACAAATACTTATTTATATTTCCCCTTTGGATGTTTGTCCCTATGATCATGCTTCAGTAGAGGGGGTGAAAGTGGGCTCAGTCTTTACCCCCAAAATATTTCAATTCAATAGCGATCACCCTGCCCTCACAGAGGCCAGATTTATTGTCTTGTGAGCCCAACGGGAGCTTCTTCTAGGGTTCAAGAATGGACTTCACAGAGGGTCTACTTTTTACTGGATAGGGTCCATATGTGTCTGATTTCTCCTGGAGGCCTCAGCAGAGGATATGAGAAGAGAATTCCAGGGGGAGGGAGATGACCTTTGAGCTCAGCCTCCTATCACGCACTCTGGCGCTGCCAGTGTCCATGCTTCGTCCAGTACCCTCCATTCGTGACTCAGAGGGAAGCAGAGAAGGAAGAGGTAGCTGAGTTCCGCAATCAGAGGCATCGCTGCAGGTATGAGCTACTGGGACTCAGGAATGATCTTCCACTTGGCACGCTGCCTGTCTGGCTTCACTCCCATCACAGAGATAGGGGCACTGCCTCCCCTCCAGCCATTTTATTCCCAATACTGCCTGCCTCCTTCCTGGCAGGAGAAGGGATAAAGGTGAGTCAACCTGTCCTGGGTTGCATCTTGCCCAGCAGAGTGTCTCCCCCCTCACCTCCACTCCCTCCAATCCTACCTGGCTCATCTGTCCTTTCCTGCCCAAGGAAGGGAGGCAGAGGTAATCCCACCCTAGCTAATTTGTGAGAGGGAAATTGTTATCTGCCCACAGAGCTGGGCAAGCTCCCCAGTGAGATGCTAGATAAAGTGGGGGAGGAGGGGAGAGGAGAGCAGGAGACTGGCCCCTCCCTTTACCCTCTGGCTTTCTCAGCCTAGCTGGCTCCTTGAAGCCTGCAGGGGCGTCAGCCGCTGCAAACACCTCACCAGGGAAGCAGAGCTAATGGGACATTCACCCAAAAAGGCAAATGAAGCCCTGGGACATTGCTGGGAATTGACATGTTATTGAACCAAAGAGTTAGTCAGTAATATGATACCACATTTTGAGTCTCCCTCAGACAAGCTCTGCAGCAAGGAGGGAGAGAAAATTTCAGAAGGGGGTATTCCCACGCAGCCAGTAACTGGCAGGTCTGGGTCTGCCCCTAGCAGGCTTTGCACCCATTGCAATGGATTCCTAGACCTTAGCATGAGGAAGAATGCACTAGGTTGTGCAACAGTCCACAACTAGATAAGAAGGAATGGACAAGAATGACAAATAAGCACAACCTATCAACCCCAAAAGTGCTGGAAAGCCCCATCCTGAGCAAATGCTTGATGTTTTGGGGGTTAAATGCTAATGCAACTTGAAACCCTCTTGCGGCCAGTGTTTTAGGGTTTGCAGTGGTTCCCCCCTTCTTCCATTCTGTGGATCATTTTGAGAAAGATACAGATTCTCATAAAGACTCACCTCTTCTCCCAAAACACTACCTTCCCTCCACCACTCCCACAAAATATTTAATCCTGTACATCATGAGACGAGCACTAACCACAGTGGATATATTGCATTTATCACTGAGAGAAATCCAAATTTTGGCATTGTCACACTTTTGCAACATTTAGATAGATTGTCATGCCAATAAAGTTAGTGTATTGAAATGTAGCATTCTCTCCCTTCCTCACTCTTCAAATGACACCATCCCTTTTCCTATCCGCTCCCCACCCTTAAAATAAATCCCTGCTCTGTGGAAGCAACATAATTATACTGGAATAAAGGCACTTAGTCTGGAACAGTGTCCACATGGAGAATTATACCAGTATAGCTTCAGTAGTATAATTCCACTATAGCTATAACAGTCAATTTCCCCACGTAGACAAGTGGTAGTTATATTTTCCCTCTCCATCCCTTATTCTTAAGATGTTGTTACCTCCTTGTTCCCTCCCACACAGTTATCTATTGGGAATTTCTTCCCCTTCACTTACCCCTCCCCCACCTCTTGAGAAGGCTAAAAGCAGGCACTACATTAACTCTTTGCAGTTGTAGTTTTCCATTTCCAGCCCACAAGGCTGAACTCAGAGGGGTAGCCTATATGAGTCTTTTTTACCTACAGTGTCCCACTGTGGCTACTACCAAAGCAGCTCCATTGGTGGTAGCAGTAGTCGAACACTTTTTAAAGATCAGTCTAGTGTAGTCGAAGACTTTCTCCTCCTGAACTAATCTCTGCTTCTTTACCCACCCTAATCGGTACCAACTTTTAAACCTTGCCTATTTCAGCATTTATCATAGTTGTTGTTTTTTTAAATTAATGTCCACAATCCCTCCTCCTCCAGACATACCACAATTTTCTTCCCCTTAAAGCACAGCATAAATTGAAATCTTTTTGTTAGGGCTGTTGATTAATCGCAGTTAAATAATGCGATTAACTCAAAAAATTAATCGCGATTTTAAAAAATTAATTGTGATTAATCGCAGTTTTAATTGCACTGTTAAACAAGAGAATACCAATTGAAATTTATTAAATATTTTGGATGTTTTCTACATTTTCAATATATTGATTTCAGTTACAACACAGAATGCAAAGTGTACAGTGCTCACTTTATTTTTATTACAAATATTTGCACAGTAAAAATAAGAAATAGTATTTTTCAATTCACCTCATACAAGTACTATAGTGCAATCTCTTTGTCGTGAAAGTGCAACTTACAAATGTAGATCTTTTTTGGTACAGAACTGCACTCAAAAACAAAACACTGTAAAACTTCAGAGCCAACAAGTCTACTCAGTCCTACTTCTTGTTCAGCCAATTGCTAAGAGAAACAAGTTTGTTTGCATTTACAGGACATAATGCTGACCGCTTCTTATATACAATGTCACCTGAAAGTGAGAACAAGCATTCGCATGGCACTTTTGTAGACGGCATTGCAATGTATTTACATGTCAGATATTCTAAACATTTGTATGCCCCTTCATGCTTTGGCCACCATTCCAGAGGACAAGCTTCCATGCTGATGACACTCTTTAAAAAAAAAATGCATTAAATAATTTGTGACTGAACTCCTTGGGGGAGAATTGTATGTCTCCTTCTCTGTTTTATCCACATTCTGCCATATATTTCATATTAAGTCAATCTTGGATGATGACCCAGCACATGTTGTTCATTTTAAGAACACTTTCACTGAAGATTTGACAAAACGCAAAGAAAGTACCAATGTGAGATTTCTAAAGATAGCTACAGTACTTGACCCAAGCTTTAAGAATCTGAAGTGCTTTCCAAAATCTGACAGGGACGAGGTGTGGAACATGCTTTCAGAAGTCTTAAAATAGCAATACTCCGATGCAGAAACTACAGAACCCGAACCCCCCCCCCCCCCCCCAAAATCAACCTTCTGCTGGTGGCATCTGACTCAAATGATGAAAATGAGCATGCATCAAGCCACACTGCTTTGGATCGTTATTGAGCAGAACTCGTCATCAGCATGGACACGTCCTCTGGAATGGTGGTTGAAGCATGAAGGGACATATGAATCTTTAGCACATCTGGCACATAAATATCTTGCGACACCGGCTACAACAGTGTTACGCGAGCACCTGTTCTCACTTTCAGGTAACATTCTAAACAAGAAGTGGGCAGCATGATCTGCAAATGTAAACAAACTTGTTTTTCTGAGTGCTTGGCTGAACAAGAAGTAAGACTGAGTGGACTTGTAGGCTCTAAAGTTTTACATTGTTTTGTTTTTGAATGCAGTTTTGTTTTTTTTACATAATTCTACATTTGTAACTTTAATGAAAAAGAGATTGCACTACAGTACTTGTATTAGGTGAATTGAAAAATATTATTTCTTTTGTTTTTTACAGTGTAAATATTTGTAATAAAAAATATAAAGTGAGCACTGTACACTTTGTATTCTGTGTTGTAATTGAAATCAATATATTTGAAAATGTAGAAAACATCCAAAAGTATTTAAATAAATGGTATTCTATTATTATTTAACAGCGTGATTAACAGCCCTACTTTTCGGAGGCAGGGCCTCTCTCTCACTGCATGTGTGTACTCAATAATATGGAGCCCCACTGTGGTTGGGACTTTCAAGTGCTACTGTAATAAACAAGGAATAGAAGTGCATCACTGGTGATTCACATATAGGGCCCAATCCCAGTTCCTACTGACATCATGGACTCAATCGTGGTCTCCTTAAGAGACCAAGCAGTTTAGGCTGGGATTTTAAAAAGTGCTGGAGGGAGTCAGGCACCCAGTTTCCATTCCATTTAGGTGCCTTTGAAAATCCCAGCCTTACAGTTTAATCGTGACAAACACAAAATTAGCAACAGGTTAACAGGTGTACCTTTCTATGCATGGTTCTCCACTGCCTTGCCCCTTGTGTATGAAATGGGTGTAAAACACTACTAGATCAGAAAGCTACCATGTCATACAGGCAAAAATTACTGGCCAAGTTGCAAGGCAATGGCGAATCATTCCTTCAGTCTCAAATAACCCCATCAAGCCACCATCCTTTCTTTTTTTCTCCTCCCATCTCACCTTCTGTCTATTCCTTCCTCTCTTTGGAGGACTCTTGAAATCAGTTATCAGAACATTTTACTTTACTCTTAGGGCACGGCTACACTGGAAACTTCAAAGTGCTGTCGTGGGAGCGCTCCCACGGCAGCACTTTGAAGTGCGAGTGTGGTCACTCACGAGCACTGGGAAAGAGCTCTCCCAGTGCTCCTAGCAATCCACTTCCCTGAGGGGATTAGCTCCGAGCGCTGGGAGCACGGTTCCTAGCATTCGGAGCCTGTTTACACTAGCGCTTTAAAGCGCTCTGACTTGCTGCGCTCAGGGGGGTGATTTTTCACACCCCTGAGCCAGCAAGTTCGAGTGCTATAAAATGTAAGTGTAGCCAAGCCCTTAGAGTTAAGTTGGTACTTTGCCCTATCCTCTCTGGGAATTGTCTACAGTAAAATACCAACCAGAGTGAATTCCCAAGGCAGAAGTTCTCAGCTAAGAAATCCCTACTGTTGGCCTTGAAGAGTTTCACCATGGGAACTGACAACAAAAGCCTCCCTGCTGATTTTAATAGCTCTGACAGGTTGTAAGGTGGAAAGGCAGCCTCTCAGGTGGCCAAATCCCAGACCATTCAAGGCTTTAGAGATTGTCAGCAACTACACAACACTCAAGGAGGCCTTCCCCTCCCCATTTATGTTCTTACAAGCTGTTGCAAATAATCCAACTCTCCTGGTTCTTTACAGTATTAAAACAAATCCAAGAACACCCAGAACATCACGGCTGTCACCACACTGCACACCATGGTCTTAGAACTTCATGGCAGCAACAGGCATACAACTCAATCTTTCTGCTCAAAAGCACAATCCTCTACAATTTGAGCTATGATACACAGCTGAGGAGCCCCAATTCTATCCACATAACAGTAGTGGTTCACACGCCTACCAGCTCAATACATTTATGTTCTGCTTTCTATATATGGTTCAGAGCTTTGCATACCATGATTGCTACTTTCATTCTTTTAGCCCCCAATCCTGCAAAAACGTACACAGGTACTTAATTTGCACACATAAGTATAGAACCATTGAATTCAATGGGGCTACTCAGGCAAATACAATTAACAGCATAAGTAAGTGTCAGCACATGGGCTGTTAATCTCTTTTAAAATTATATAGTAGCCCCTGTCCATCTGTCATCAACTCCAGTCAAATGTCCTCCACCACTGTAGACACACATTGCTGTTCCAAATAAAACAAGTTTTGCTTGAGAACAAGTGGATCAGGCCCTTCAGGCGACTCAGAGCCATACTGCTTCAGTCCTAAAATTATTCTGTTTCCTTTTCTTTACAGTGGACTGACCATTATTCCCAGAGTAGAGACAGGCAGTCACCATTAAGAACTCATTATTTACAAACAGTTACCATACAGATCATCACAGGTCTTCCTTACACTTAAATGATATAATTATGGCATTAGCAGCGCTTTGGGCCCCAATCCCACTCAAGTCAAAGGACACTACCATTGACTTCAACAGGAGCAGAATGGGGGCAGATAAAACACTTCCTACCCTTTTCAGATTCTAGACCATTTTACCTCTAACAACTTTCTATTAAAATTATGCCACATATGTTCTATCTGTTGAACTACAATTTCCCTCTTTGAAAATGGTTATACCTTTAGGGTACATCTACACAGCAATTACACACCCACAGCTGGCCCGTGCCAGCTGACTCGGTCTGACAAGGCTTGGGCTATGGGACTGTAAAATTGCGGTGTAAACATTCGGACTCAGACTGGAGCCCATGCTCTAGAACCCTGAGAGGGGGGGGAGTCCTAGAGACTGGGCTCCAGCCTGCGCCTAAATGTCTACCCTGCAATTAAACAACCCCATAGCCCAAGCCCCGCAAGCCCGAGTCAGCAGGTACAGGCCAGCTGCAGGTGTGTAAGTGCTGTGTAGACGTACCCTTAGAGCACTGAAGCACTACACACTACTTAAGAATCTAATCTCCACTTCCTTGCACCTTATGCAGTCCTGAGTACACTTGTGCAAAGTGGGTGTAAAATGCTCTCACTGTTGTGAATGGAGAATTCCAATTGCCAGGAGGCTTTTTTGGGTATTCCCTCCCCCACCTCACTTTGCTCAAGTTTAAGTTATTGAACAAGGTGCATGCAACAGAATCAGACACTGACTTTTTCTCCTCCAACGTTTACGTTTTACGTGGCTGTGTGTTATAATGAGCCTTCCAGAGAGGTAACAATAAATTCTATAAGAAACCAAGGTGATTAAAGCCACAATACTGCAATGAGCTCTGCATGGAGCTCACTGCAGGCTGACAGTCTAAAACAGGAAAGTGTGAAAGAGGCAGTTAAAGGTCCGCTGTTAATTTAAAGCCTACTCTTCTATCTGAAAAAAATGTTTTAGAGATTACTGCTACTAGTAATTCCTAAGATTACTATAACAGGTTATATTTTTTGCTATTTTTTCCAGTTTGGTTACTTTCTGCACTTGACAGCATTGTGTGTCCAGTCAGCCTCATTGTGCCTCTAGCAAAATCAGGTATGCCCTCTTACTGCAAACATTTAAGCACATGCTTGACTTTACTCAGGTGAATAGGCCCACTGAGTTTCCCTTGTTCGTGTGGAACTTCATATGGCCACAGGAGAGCGAAATACATTGTTAATATTAGAACGTTATTGTAAAGATTGTAAAAATTGGCAGAGGAACTCAGAGGTAGTTTTAGTACCTGAAACTATTTTAAAGTTGTGAGGTCTCCAATCCTGAAAACTTCTCTACAATTCTGGAACTCCCTATGCCTACAGGGAACCCCCCTGAAATAAATGGTGTTCTGTGCAGAAGCAGTGGTCTGACTTCGTTGAGCATTTAGCAGGATTGGTGCCTACATTTCTGATTCATAGATTCCAAATCCAGAAGGACCATTGTGATAATCTAGTCTGATCTCCAGCATCACAGAGGCCTGATCTGCCCCTTTCAAGATATTAACCAGATCCAGACATCAAACAGACAAAACCACCCTGATCCATTATAAAAATGCAGCTGTAGGAAACCCTCATCTTATAAAGAAAGCATCCCTGGCAGTTACTAAGCAGGTACACTGCAAACTTTAGCTAGCAATATAGATAAAAATTCAACATTATCTCCCATGTTAAAAAGAAGAAGATATATTAAACCAGAAGGAAAATCAGATAAACATAATATGGAAAAATATATGCTTATGAAACACATGGAATAACATACATTCATGCAAAATTAAGGTTGAGAACTTGAATGTACAAAAGTTAGAACATTCAAAAGTTGAAGTTTGCACAGGAATGTTAACTCAGCTACACTGGACATACTCTATGTAAGGTATTTGTTTACACACGCAGTTAGATGTGGACAAGCCATGGGAACTTGGCTTCAGAATCTCCTGACTTTTGTGCATTTAAGTAGAGTCCTGCATGGATACAAACTTTCTATCCGCAGATGCGGATATCCACGGAGCTGCAGAGATCTTGCGACAACGAGCGAGACCAGCAGGGCCATGGCCCTCGACTGGGACAATAACTGCCGCGGCAAGAGCAGCAGCATGTCGCATACCACCGGTTGGACTAAACTCCTGTCCAGGAGCTTGCAAGCAGCTGCACACACCAGAGTGACTATGGACAGCTGCCAGTGAGCCTGTTGCCCACCCTAGTGGGCAGGGCTCGGGGCAGCACATGGAGGAGCTGCCCAGGCTGGGCGCTGGCTCCTGCGAGTGGCGGCCCAACATTCTGCTGCTTTCGCCACTGCAGTTCCTGGCCCAGTTGCTGGCCATAGCCCTGCTGGTCTCGCTCGTTGTCGCTAGAGCCCTGCGGCTCCATGGATATCCGCGGATATAAATTTTGTGTCCGCACAGGACTCTACATTTAAGATACACTATAATCTTAGACTTTTATTATTATTATTATTATTTAATGCCCTTGATTTTTTTTAAAAAAATATTCTCCCACAGCCCCGCAAGTTGCCAGCTAACCACATCCTGCCTCTATCCAACTATACCACATGCCTAGTCCATGACAACAATCCCAACACCAAACCACCCTTGCTGCACCCATCAAAAAGCCTGTCAATTGCCCTGATATACACCCCTGTATTTCCCTGGCCTGACACAAAGCAAATTAAATTTCAGCACAGAAGGAATATTTCTGAGATTATTATGAACAGCTGAAGGAAAGAGTTTTCAGTAGAAGTGTCCTTTTTCTTACATGGCATCTCCATTACTGGAGGTTTACAACTATGGTAGTCCATTCTGTGCAATCCTCTGGTAATCTCTTTGTGGATGAATAAGTATCCTACTCAGCAGTAATAACTATAGGAGGCTCAATTCTGTCCTCAAATAGAAATAAACAAGAGAAATTGTCCCAGCATTAATACAGAACACACTTCTTGGGCTGCCAGGGGTCCTTTGGCCTCTGGTGCTACCCCAACTTGCACCTGGCTACCCCAGAACCCTTGGCTTCTGGGGAAAGCCCTCTGAGCTGGGGTTGTACTCTAGGGTGCAACCCTGCATCCTGGCCCAAAGGCATTGATGAATGAGGCCCACAGACTGTACCTCCCTCTGAAATAAACGGGAGTTGTGCACAAGCCTCCAAGGGTGGAATTTGGCTCAACAACTCTACTGCAATGCTATAATAAAATAAAAATAACTTCAGCATGATTTCCTCTTTATATTGTACATGAAGGAAAAACCAATGCCTTACTGTAATCCAGACTGGTCCATTAAAGTGAATGGGAGTCACATGGTTAAATGCCTGCCATGAAAACGTAGGCGTTGTTGTCTGTTTTGTGAGGCAGAAATCAATATTCCCGCCTCCTCTCCTTCTGTTATTTCACCTTGAGATACTCCTGCTCAGATAGATGAGATCTAAATTTTATTCACTGTTACTGCAACATTTTACTTTCCAACATTTCACAGGGTCGCAGATGTTCTTGGAGCACGAACTGGACTGCAGTTTGCCACTCAGCTCCCTAAAGGTGCTTGAAGTACTCTCATCTCCCACTGGTTCTTGAAGTACACTTATTCTCCTTACACATCACATATCCATGACTATTTCTAACTATAGTACTCAACCCTCTATCCACTAATTCTGTTCTCTGTGTGCTTCAATAACATCTGTCTTTAATGTCACAGCCTCTATTCTTCCCCGTATCCCTATAATTTACTACCCAATGCTAGCCTCTTCTATAAAGCAGCCATCCCAGTCCATTCAATACTCCCTCTTCTCACTCTCTCTCTTTAATTTATCGACTGGCAGTTGCTTGGTCGAGACTGCGACATGGATGAGAGCTAGTTGGCTGGAGTTCAATCCAGACAAGTCTGAAGCAATCCTGATTGTGGGAAACTACCAGAAGATGTAGCGAATATAATCTAGTTGAAGATAACATCTGTTTCTTTGACTGGGGATGTGTGTTTGGCTTTTGTTCAGACTTAGGGGTCTGGTTAGATTCCCAGATGTTACTAAAGGATCAGGTAGCAGCAATGTCAGGACGCTGGTTTTTAAAAACTTACATATGGCCAAGAAGTAGTGATAGTCCCTCTCCAACGCAGATCTGACAACTGTCATTTATGCCTCTGTCATCTAAGGATGAGAATACTGCAATATTTTCTACATGGCACTGCACTTTAAATCCATTCATAAACTGAAGCTGGTGCAGAATTCAGCAGCCCACTTCAAAAGCCATGTATCCTACCGTGAGCATTTTTACCCTGGTGCTCCAGGATCTGCACTGGCTGACTGTTGGCTTCCAGGTAGATTTTAACATGTTTCACTTGACATATAAAGCCCTAAGTGGCCAGGGACCTGCCTACTGGAGAGACCACATCTCTCACCTTGCCACATTGCTGCAGTTGCCATCAGCAGAAGCATTTAAACTGGCACCCACTTGGTATAAGAGAACGCTGCTGGCAGGTCCTTCTAGGTGAAGTCCCCTTGATTTCAGAACTTGCTCCCCCGTTTAATCCAAAATAGCTTGCTTTTGATTATCATTACGGCACGCTGGAAAGCTCAGTTTTCTTCTCCACATTATGAAGAGGGGGGAAGCTTATGTGGGTGGTTAGGAGTGAGAGAAGGATGGTTCAATCTTTAATTTGTCTATGTTTGCTGGTTGGGGGTTTAATGGAGTTGCTGAAGTTATAATTAAGGAATTTTCAGTATTTGTAGATTAAACAATGTCAAGGGAGCCTAGAGTGAATGGACAGCTGCTTTTTTTTTAATTTTGAAAATATTTAATTAAATTAAATGAATTTCTAAAGCACGACTCACTGTGATATTTAGGTGCTGTATCAGGGCTATATAAAACAAAAAGCTCCATCCATAAGCATTTCCACCTCGCTCTTTGTTTTATTCCTTGTCTTATGTTTCAGAGCATGCTATGGTGTTTCTTCTGCTGTGGCTTACCAGATCCAAACCAAAGTGCTTGTTCTTATCTACAAGGTCCTAGATAGGATAAGCACCTACTATCTCAAGGCCTGCTTCTCTTTCTGACAAGGGTAGGACTTGTACACCCTCCCAAAGCAGATCAGGAACAGTCCTATTCTTGTCAGAAGGAAAGGCAGTCCTTGAGATAGTATATTCCTATCACATCTAGGATATCATAGACCAGAACAAGCATTTAAGACTGGAGCTGGTAATGCACAGGGGGCCAGCACAGGTCATGAAGCACTGAGGTGATATGCTCTCTTTGGCTTGTCTGGTTTAAGAGACAGGCTGCTGCACTATATATCAGCTGTAGCCTTTTGTATCCTTCCAATCTAAAACACAGGCAAAGTGAATGAGAATAGTCAGGCCTAGAGGTGAGGAATGCTTCAAGTGCTGTGGCTAACTCATCTTCTGAACAGAAAAGACTGAGCCATTTTGCTAGCCAGAGCTGATGATTGCTCTTCTTTGAGTATCTAACATCAGCAAGGAGGCCAGCATGACCCAGCACCTGCAAACAATATTTAATTGCCAGTGTGCAGATGCCTTCAGCTGAGGGAAAAGTGGTGGCAGTTTCCTGGGCTCAGTTATGTTCTTTATTCAAGTTATGATTTCCTCCCTGCAATTCGGAAGACTGCACGCTCTGTGCTGAATGCATGTTGCTGGCATCACAATCCACGGCATCTTATAATGTCTCCTAAAGATTTTCCATAGAAAGATGTTAAACAGGAGTGGAGCTAGGACTGAGACCTACTGTGGGACTCCGCATGTAGGGAAGGAAAAGCAGTGACTCATTATGACACTCTGGGACCTGGTAATTTCTGCTTTTAACTGGTATTATGTCTTCCCCTCCATTAAAAACTATGTTTTGCAAGCTGTTATTTGAACCACTCCTATAAAGTACTCTCCAAAGAGGACTGCTGTTTCTTTCATTGACTCCTTATTTTGCATGTAAGGTGACTGAAAAATCATATGACATGACTTGACGGGAGTCTCTTCTGCATTTTGGAAGAATTACAGGGACAGTCAAAGGCCCAGCTTCACCACTGGCATAAACAGGCACAACTCCTCTGACTTCAATGGAGTTGCACTTTCTGGGGACCAAAGGCTATAGTAAATTAGGTTCAGTTACCATAGTCCAGGTGCTTTGGCATCTGGAACTGAATGTAGGATTTCAATATACTACACGTATGATCCATCAATGAGAAATTGAACTCAAATCTGTAGTTCACTAACCAACAGCTCTTCCAGCTATAGATAGAACCCTGCCCCCCACACAGTCTGCCGTCCTCGGGCTGAGGAATGGGTGAATGAATGCTGACCCTGGAATTGCTGCCCAAGGGTTCTCCTTGATGAAAGCAGGACTCCTGGCATCCTAGTGTATGTCTACACTGCTCACATTACAGCACTGTGATGTGGGCCGTGTAGTCACGCTTTATCCCCAGGGGAGAGCTCTCCCGGTGATGAAAAATAACCACCGCGAACGAGCAGTGCTAGCTTTATCACCGGGAATCCGGCTCCCGACAATAAAGCGCTGTCTATACTGGAGCTTTTCAGCACTAAAACTTTTGTCGCTCAGGGGGTGTTTTTTCACATCCCTGAACAACTAAAGTTTTAGCGCTGAAAGTGGCAGTGTAGACACAGCCCTAGATTCAACAGAAAGAAAAGGAGTACTTGTGGCACCTTAGAGACTAACCAATTTATTTGAGCATGACTCTCAAATCCTCGGCCCTGCAAAGAGCTGTATCTCTTAACTGTCCACTGTTCGTGACTGTGGGGCCAAAGATGACCTGCTGGTACCAAGATCTCTTAGTTTCATCTCCATCCTGGTCTTAACTGACTCAAATTGCTAGGTCTGACTATGAAACTGTGTTTCAACCCTTTAAACCTCGCCTTTCAGAGAAACATTATAGGGATGTCAGGATTCCTGAAGTGGTGGTGCAGGAGGAAGCTCAAGAACAAATGCACATGCTGAGATGACTTCTCTCATTCTAAGAGATGGCAGGACACAGGGTCTACCCAGCTCAGATTTTGGATCCATTGGCAGACTTTGCAAGTGGACCCACAGCCCTAGCTAGATGACAAGGCATCTTTTGGAGTGAGAAGGGAGTAACACTGGGGGAAGTCCAGGACTGAATGAACATGAAGAGCTAACAGTCTTTTTAACCTAAAAAAGTGGGTCCCTAGAGACCACCAGTGAGGTACTCTAGCTTTACAGTATAGGCCAGGGTAGAAACTGTACACAAGTTCAGTTGATAATACTGGAAATCCATAGGCGAAGGAAAAGTTTTAAAACAGCAGGGAACATTCTTCTCAAAATCAATACTGTGAAGGTATCTTAAAGGAAACACGCTGCAAAAAAAGGACACATTCACCACACATAAATCTTTAATGGTATCTTGTACTTCCAACAAAGCCATTTTTAAAACACCAGGTAATGTAACACACCTGATAGAGCAATAATCCCCACATGGCAAAATCTGATTTCACACCTGGTAAGTGAAATGCCTCTGCTTCGTCCCAAGGTCAGGGTTAGGTGTTAGGGTGAGCTGTTAATGGAAGGTTAGGGACTACAATAACACATAATGGCTCTTCGGGGAATAGATTTCAAATGCTCTTTTCTTGTACAATAATGCAGTATCATCAGAAAGCACAGGTTGCACAAAATAAAGTCACTGTCAGTGATAGTGCTGTAACCAGTTAAGAGCTTGGGTTAGGGGGCCTGGTTTACATTCCAGTGCTCAGAGTGAGGGTGGGGGTTGCTCAGTATTGGTTCCCTTTTAGTTCACTATCCTACATTCTTTCATCTGTCTCCTGGTATGTCTTCTGCAGCACACCAGATTCAATCAGCCACTCCATCCTAACACTCTAGCTCACTGTGATTGAGAGCAAAGCTATAGAAATCCATGAGAACTTACAATGACAGAACAAACATTTCAGCCAGATGCAACTAGGGCCTCTGATCCATAAACAAAACAAAACACACAGTGAAAACCAAAGGGAAACATCAGCAACACAGAGTACAGGAACCCAAATTCATTCAGAATCTGCCCTAAATCAACAAACAAGTCAGCCAGACACAGCTGGGATAGCTGCAGAAACTGTCAATCACCCACAAACAACCGGGAGCTAAAATCTATGCAGAATCTGCAGTAAGCAGACAGACTGGATAGGTGAAATTTGAAATCAAAATCCAGGCAGAACCAGCACTGACTTGACAAATAGATTAGTGCTAAATCTAGCATCAGGATAAAGACACAACTCAATAACAATGAAAGGAGAGGTGGAAGGAATAATCCAAGTGCAAGACAGAGTGGTCAAAATTAAGTGATATGAAAAATTTAACACAACTTGCATACAATTCCAAAACTTCAGGACAAATTCTGTGCTAACTTGACTCCAGGTAATCCCTCTGATTTCCAAATATGGCCCTTTATGTTCTTCCAAAGAGATGCTAACTGTAAGTCAACAACAGGGAAAGGAACAAGAAGAACTAGTTTCTAAATGGCAATATATGGGTTTTAAACAGGGGGATTGATTTAATCAAGGTGATTTGAACTCAGCAAGCAGGAAACCTTGATTTAAATAATCAATTTTAATCTTGTTTTGCTTTGGTAGTTTAGTTATTTGCCTAAAGAAATGTTGCTTCTCATTGGCTGGTAACCATTAAAATATGCTGATTTCCAAGGAAATATAATCTTACATTTGGTATTAACCAGGAGGATAAATAAATGTGTATAAATATAGTGTAAGAAATTATAGAGCTTAACATACGTTTATTAATATTATTAAGTTTTACATTTTTATAATGTTAGATGGTGAATTATGCATTTCTTATTTATTAGATTAATTTTTTACTTGTGATTTGTGTCAAGCTGTATTTGGAAGGAAATTGGAGTTAAATTAAAAATGCACCAAAACAGCATTTTAAAATTGTTTTTCATTAGTTAAATACAGTATAACTACCTTAAATGTGCTCGATACATAAGGGGGGAAAAGCTTATCAAAACCTATTTTACACTTAAAACTAACTGATTTATTAAACAAAGGAAGTATTATCTGCAGTGAGTGAACTGAACTGATTGTTTCTGATCACCATGTCCTTCAAGATTTTAGATTTAGTAGATCTTGTTCTCTCAGACTTAGGTTTTTATTCATAGATCGGAAGACGAACACAAGCTTTCCTGTTTTTCCAACTTCCACTTGGTATCTTAACTTTGAATTAACTAGTCATTGAACCTTACTAACTGAATACACTGAACTGAAAATATTCTCGCTGCACCTGCAGAAGAGGCTACTGCTGTCAAAAACTGGTTTAGCACTTCAACAAACTCTGGTTCCGGGTGCTTAGCCAGTGACTTCCACCAGTTCTGTGGTTTGACTTTTTAAAAAACTTGGGCAACAAACATACTGCTTAATATTTAAACTATTGTAATAGATTATAGTAAATTTAGGCCTTAGTATAAGTTGTCATCTTTTCAAATTTAATTTAAATAGGTTTATTTATAAAAATAAATCTGTATTTAATTTAAATTTTTTTAAATGACTGAAATAAAAAAGCATTTCTTAAAAAAAAAGCCACTGTTTTTTTAAATCTACTGTGGCCTTAAAAATAAACTTAAAATATTTGAGGCTGCAAACTAAACCACGAATCTCATTCCAAGAGGTACTGAGAACTCACAGTTCCCATTGACTTCACTGGACATTGCAGATGTTCAACACGTGGCAGGACCCAGCCATAAGTCTGGTGTTTCTCTATATGCCATATAGTGATGAATATGTGCCTAGAGCAATGG